TATAGTGCTATTGCCATGAATGATACATCATTTTAAAGGGCTAGCTTTAAGCTTTATAACAACACCAATTTCATCTTTCTATCTTTTATAGAAGTGGAGTTATGAATTTTTTAGTCACATTTTTATGCCACTTATATAATCTATTATCTATATATTTTACCCCCAAAACGTGTGACCCAAATTTCACATTTCTGCATTATTTTGCCCACAACATTTTTATTTTTAAAGATAATTGCACCAAATTTTCAGGAGACATTCCTAATCTAATAACTAACACAAAGAACAATATAAATTTTACATTGCATCAAGACTTTTTATTTTGGATAATTTTCTTTGCAGGTATGTTGAAAAAAATCATGTCCAAAAAAATTGTCAAAGTTATTTGTAAAGGCAAAAACAAAACAAAAAATACATGTTTATTGTAGTTAAACTAAATGTATGATTCAGTTATATTGCAAATAAATTCTTATCTTTATAAAAGGTAAGTAGAAGTCTTTTTTAATACAAAATTAAATGCATTAAATTATAAAAACTATTCAAATCACCCATCACGAGACTAATATATGAGTCGAGCATATGGGTATGTGATTAAATTTTAAAAGGGAAAAGGGATGTTCTGCCTATCATTTTCTAGGTAGACTCCTTTACAGACTTCTTGGTCTTGTTAATGAATCACAAAATTTCTCCTTCATAAACTTTGTCTTTGCCATCCTCGTCCATGTTGATGGAAGTGGAATAAATTCCACAAAGATCTTCCCTTCAACAGAAAGATAAAATTTTTCCTTGTACCTGAAAGAAGCCTAGAAATAACATTAACATCTTGTCATAATCCTGAATCTTCACAATTTCTTGTTTCTTTTTAATAATATTCATTTTATGTGGTGATTAAAACTCATTTCTTTTTTTTATAAATATTTAATTTAAAGTTATTTGATATATTAAATAATTGTGTATGTAAGCTGCTTTTCTATGTCCTAATTAAAAAAAAATTACTTTGATTATGTTGTTGTATTAGAATGTTGTATTAACTTAACAATAATTTAAAAGTTATAATTAAATGCTTTATTAAATTTTTTTAAAAATTACTAACTTTAATTTGGCCTCCAACTGCAACTAAGTGAGCCAATTGTGTTGTAAATATAATATTAGTATTAGCCTAAGCTAAATACTAGTCCTAAGCTTAGGCCTAAATAGACTTAATAGGATTACCGATAAAATAACCGTTATTGTAAAAAATAATTGTATGCCTTATTTTAGCAATATTCTCCCATATGAGTTGCAATTTATAAGCCAAAAACAATTATTATTATTGCTATTACTATTATTACACAATTAATTATTGATTCAATAATGAAGAACGGTAGAACTAGAACTAGAAAGGATAAATTTGGTACCCCGTGAACAAAACTAACGTCATAAACCAAATTATTCATTTGAAACGTATTAGTATTAGAATTATTCATGATTCATATGGTTAGGGATTTTTTTAAAAAATGATCATTTCATAATTGACAGTAATAATAATAGCCATTTCCGGCAACTCGATCGAATAAAATTAACTTTCGATTCGGCAACATTTTCATACCCCCCACCTACACTTTTGCGGAAGGCATAACTTTTCATTGAGTGGGTCAATTTTAATAATTTAACTATGTTAATACGCGCGATTGAATGTAGTTTCTAATCCACTAAAGCTTATTATTACGGAACAACTAACAAAAAAGTATTATGTGATAAACTTACCGAATGATTACGATGTTCCTGTGCCTGACACACAAAAAAAAACTCGTAGTATAATTTAATAAAATCACCGGCACACAAAAACTGATACGTCACTGATGAGGAAAGCAATTATTTAATAAACAAAGGTGACGTAGTATGCAATTTTCCAAAGATACCGTGTAGCTGTACTCCAAAATAATTTCAGCCGATACATAAATTTTGTGGCGTACAAAGCTAATTTATTGTATCCCTTTAAATACGTTGCAAGAAGTCTCAACGACCTGCAATCCCTTCCTTTCCTGATGTAATTTCTTTTCATTGCAGGTTTCACCAAAAAGAAAATCCAAAAGTTGTAAGAAAATCAATACAAAACAATACTATACCCAGGTTTCCAAAAGGCAGGAAAATTTAAATAGTATAAATAACCAGCCACGGAAGTTTCAATTTAAAACTTTCCATCGTCACATAAAGAAAACTTAATTCGAGTAACGATCCAAGAATAAACGAAAGGGTGAGAACCTTACACCGTAACACGAATTGCGGACATTGACCATTTATTTTACAGGATAGGGCTAGAACAGCTGGGCTTAATTGTAACACCATTATTCTAGAGACTTTTGTTATCCTCCAAGAACACCCAAAAATGTGGTATCATAATTTAATTGTCGAGTTATTACCTCTTCTTTTTAATTTACCAAGCGTATCCTTGTTTAGTCTTTTATAGTGGATTATTGGCTTAATAATGAATTCTAAATTTAGCCATTACTTAAAGCTGAAAGGCTAATTGTTTAAGTGCAAATTTATTTTTTTTTTTTTTTTTTTTTTTTTTTTTTTTTTTGTTTTATCTTTTTAAATTTTTGTTGTTAAAAATTTTTTTTTTTTGATTAATAATTTTTTTTTTTTTTTAAAGTTCAATAAAATTTTAAAAATTATTTAATTCATCATGTCATTTATAAGACATTCAAATTTCATGAGAGTAGACCCTAGGTAAAGGGGTGAAAAACAAAAAGGTCACTGTTTTAGGCTAAGTAATTTGTCAGCATACTACCTATAATCGATAGCAGCCTTGGGGTAGTTAATAATTCATTGAATTGGTTATCCAGCTTATAAATGGGAAGGATAACTAATAATAAAACATTTTAAATAAATAACAAATGCTACAACTTAAATAATTATTATTGGCTTATCAAATTTCAGTGCCATATTTTGGATTTGGTTGCCATGTGCATGGGATGGATAATCACTTGTTTTGGAATTAAATAGGCCTTTTAAAAGTAGTAAAATATTTATTATAAAATAATATAATGTTATATACCTATATGATGATCTACGCTAATATTAGTTGGTTTTATGTAAAAAAAAATTTTTAACTTACCTTTGATATTAAAATAATTAAAAATCAAATCAAAGACTCCACAATTAAATATTTCACAAATTACCAAGCAATCTAACCACTGCTAAACTAATAATTACTAATAAGTCAAATACATTCATTTCCAAAATATTTCACAAATTACCAAGCCATCTAACCACTGCTAGACTAATAATTACTAATAAGTCAAATACATTCATTTCCAAAATATTTCACAAATTACCAAGCCATCTAACCACTGCTAGACTAATAATTACTAATAAGTCAAATACATTCATTTCCAAACACATCCTCACAAGAAAATTACTTATACTAATATGACACACTAAACCAAAGAATTCTACAATATACTCTTTTCAAGTACTACTAATCTACTGGTGAATATATAATATTAACCCATCCATCAAATTTTAATTGAATATCAACAGCTTAAGTCTAAAATTTAGATCCTCTCGTCGTAGCCTAATTTTTCAGTCTAAGTTAATGTTAATGGCTCAGATGATTCCAAAGATAATTACTAATAATAAAATGACACATTAAACCAAAGAATCCCACAATATACCCTATCAAGTACTACTAATCTACTGGTTAAATATAATACTAACCCATCCATCAAATTTTAATTGAAGATCAACAGCTTAAGTCTAAAATGTCATGAATCCTCCTTTGCTTTATTCATGTCATGTCATGAATCCTCCTTTGCTTTATTCATCCAATGTCATGTCATGAATCCTTTTTTATGTTGTTTTTAACATCACATCAGGAGTCCTCTTTCACTTTTTTTTTGTGTTAAATGTCACTTCAGGAATCCAGAGTTGGCGCCAACGTCGCAGATTGGATGCTAGAGAGAAAGGCCAAGCAGCTTGCTCAGGAGATGAATATTGAAGACTTCTGTGCCAGCTCAGGTAAGCCTGGACTTTGATGACATGATTGTCTAGTCTCATACTCCAAAAGTTAAAAGTATGTTAGAGGCCGGGGGACTATTTTGTGGCAAAATTCTCCCTCTCACTCTGCAGATGTCACAGAACTGATGGTATTTTGAAGGTAAGAGCCGCATGTCACATACCCAGGGGTATTGGTAATACTGTGACTAATACAGGGATGCTCCTCTTTGAAATGGGTCAGTAGTTGAGGCGTGATCTCCTCAACAAAATTTTTAAAGAAAATATGTATTGAATGTAGTGCAAAGAATTGCATGGCTCTTTCCTAACCTTAAAACCTGGCTGCTGTCTATCCCTAGGTCTTTCTTTGACTACTACCACTTCATCTGTCACTTCAGATTGTACTGTCCTAACTCTACTGTCTATGTCATGAAAAGCTCTATCTAATATACAATTCTCTACCTTCATAGGTGTTCCAGGAATGCTATCTATTAATGCATAACTGCCCCTTCATTTCCGTTCAACTAGGAACTTCCATTATTAACACCAAAATTATCATGTGAGTCTGGGAGGCCCAAAGCATAGAAAGAAAAAAATCCCCTCTGTCTCAAAATGTGAGAATCACCAAATCACAGCATTATCCGTACGCCCTAAAAGTTAATTGAAAGAACAATGAAGCTCTGTTCTGTCCTCCGCTCCAGTCTTTTGTGACAAGCTGTTGTGCCATCCTCTATGTGATATTTTGCAAGTTCAAATAACTTAAAAATTCACAATCTGTTGTTTTACATTTACTTCAGCTGAGTTTCTGTTCCTGACTTAACCACTGTATTTCTTGCTATGTTTTAGGATGGCTGAATAGATTCAAGGACAGAAAAGGAATCTCGAGAGTTAAGGGGATCTCAAAGAAAAATAACAACCCCCAAGAGACATTTAAGAAAAGAAGAGATTTCCAGCTCCCTGTGCGGACTAGTAGTAGATACTCCAATGGCAGCGCCGAAGAAAATGAACAATTTTTGGCAGAGTTCATGTCCTGGCATGACTCGACGAACTGGACTGATGCTGTGTTGCCAGATTTGCTTCGCACATATTCTCCTGCCAATATTTTCAGTGTTACTGAGACTGGCCTGTTCTTCAGGTGCTTGCCAGTAGGTATGAATCATTTGAGAGGACAAACTTGCTCTGGGGGAGAGCATGCCTCAGAGAGACTTACCATCATAACAGCCGTCAATCTCGATGGCTCCTGCAAACTGCCAATCTTTTGTGTAGGAAAAGGGGTCAGCCCGAAATGCCTAAATGGAATTAAGAACTTACCCATCACCTACAGGACCAGCAATAAGGCATGGATGACATCCAGTCTTTTCTCAGAATGGATTCTCGGCCTGGAGGGCCAGTTTTTAAATGAAGGAAGAAAGGTGGCCATGCTCGTGGACACCAGCCCAACCCATGTGCAGCCAGGAGACCTTCACGCCATCGATCTGATCTTTCTGCCACCTCATACCTCCCGTAACCCGCAGTCCCAAGACAAAGGCATTATCTATGTCCTCAAGCAAAGATACCGTGAGGAAATGCTGAAAAAACTCATCTTACATTTAGAGTTTACGCCACAGGAGATCCAACGTGTTCCGAATGACCGCCGACCAAAAGACCGCCAACTTCTAAACAAGCCTTCCGCCAATCTCCCTGGTCCGTTTCACTGGACGTTGTTAGATGCTATGCACGGGCTCAGGAAGGCCTGGGACTCGATCTCTCCAGAAACTGTACGCAGCTGTTTCATCGCAACCGGCTTCTCCATCCCAAAAGCTGACAATTCTTCTAGTGAGGTGGCCTTAAGTTCAAGGTCTCATCAGCTGCATGAGATGTCATTATTTCAGCGGGTCAGTGCAAACATTCCAGTGGATATGTCACTGGTTGACTACATCAATGTGGATCGTCGTGTAGTCACCTGGGATCAGATGGGCATGGTGAGCCGTATTATATCCACCACTTGTGCAAATCAACTTCCTGTCTGCACCGCCGGAAGCCCAGTCTCACAGTCATGCCATTCTCCAAGTTCTTCTTTGTCGCAACCATCGGTTGACAATTCACATTTGTTTACATCCAGGGCATTGAAAATGGCTAACGGAACATCTGACATGAACGGCTTCAGCCAGGCCACTCCAGCCGATGCTACCGCTTTAACACAGAACCACTGTGGAAATTTGTTTAACCACTCCCCCACCATCGCCTGGCCCGGCAATGATACTAGTCTACCTTGCAACAACAGAATGGAACCCTTTAATTCTACTTCATCGAGTGTCCAGTTAACATTGCCAGATGGGTCAGAACAGAGGGCCAGATCACTTACCAATGGCTGTATGTTTACTTCTGTTGCATCCATCCATGATAATAATAAGCTGAACACCACCTCCCAGGTTCAGGAAATAACTAGCTTATCAAAGGAAAATCCCCAGGGGCTCGTAGAGATGGCACACAAATTTAGTCCTGGACTGGCGAAGGCCGAGACGGCAGTAGTAGAAGCAGTGGCAGCCTCTTTGACAGATGATGTCAATCCCACAATGCCAGCCGCTCCGAGCATCTCCCAGGCACATAATGCATTGTTGATGCTACGAAGGTTTCTTGAGAGAACTCCTGCCCCTGAAAATGATGTTCAGGACATGTTCCAGTGTCTTGGTAAATTGGAGGATTTTGTCATTAAGCATGTTCTCATCTCACCGAGGCAAACTTCCATTCTGGATTACTTCCCTAAGCATAAATCATAAACCAAGGCCAAATGCCCAGGAACGGGTTTAACTGACAGGCTGCTTTTAAAATACAACACAGTTAAAGACACCACCACAGGGCTCAGATTTGATTACAGGTTCTAAGACACCACCACAGAGTTCGGATTTGATTACAGATTCTAAGACACCACCACAGAGTTCGGATTTGATTACAGGCTCTAAGACACCACCACAGGGCTCAGATTTGATTACAGGCTCTAAGACACAACCACAGAGCTCAGATTTGATTACAGGCTCTAAGGGGCAGTCATCCAGGTATAAAGTTAAAGTTTTCGGAACTGACCTTCATGGGCTCTACAAGCAAATATTGTAGTACCTAATTTATTCTATTGAGCTTAAACAAGCAAATATTGTAGTACTTAATGTATACTAATGGCTTACATAAGCAAATATTGTAGTACCTAATTTATACTAATGAGCTTTACAAGCAAACATTGTAGTACCTTACTTATACGAAAGGGCCATTCAATATAATATTGTAGTACTTAATTTATAAAAATGGGTCGTATAAACAAAGGTCATAGTCCAAAATTTTACTATAGGCTGAATAATCAAATATTGTAGTACTTAATTTACTTTAATAGGTTGTGCAAGCAAATATTCTAGTACCTAATGTATGCTGATAGTTTTACAAGCAAATATTCTAGTACCTAATGTATGCTGATAGTTTTACAAGCAAATATTCTAGTACCTAATGTATGCTGATAGTTTTACAAGCAAATATTCTAGTACCTAATGTTTGCTGATGATTTTACTAGCAAATATTCGAGTACCTAATGTATGCTGATGGTTTTACAAGCAATTATTGTAAAAACTAATTTTTACTAAAATTTCAACTTTGAACAAATTAATTGTAAATGAACTTCTTCTATAACTTAATGGCCCACGATCAATGTACAGATCATTCTGGCACCTATTTATGTGGAGGGAATTTAAATCTATTGAGGGCAATTTTTATAATTTTATAATAACTAAGCAGAAGCAATAACTACCACATATGATTATCATTTTATTAAAAATGAACTGATGACTTTCAAAACCAATGATCAGATTTCAGATTATCGTTAAAAATTCTTAGCAATAAACCTGAAGACATGGAAAACTTCATTTTTTGAGTGCTTCCCTAAACTCAAGTCATGGGGGACAAGAAATAGCCACAAACTAGTTTTTTTTAAAAACAATCAAACTTGGCACTGTCACATTGTTGGGCCCGCACTGTTGCGCAATCAAATTAGCTGTTGGCAGTTGTTAATTTACAAACATTGCGCAGTCAAATTAGCTGTTGGCAGTTGTTAATTTACAAACATTGCGCAATCAAATTAGCTGTTGGCAGTTGTTAATTTACAAACATTGCGCAATCAAATTAGCTGTTGGCAGTTGTTAATTTACAAACATTCGCTGTCACAAACATCACAATTTTATTTTGTTTTTAATTTGTTTATAGTTTTAATTAAAATTAACTGTTGGCTATTGCATCTCGTTTTACCTTAGTGTTTTTTGGTTCAACTTTATTTTTAATTTTTAGTTGTAGCGAATCATTATAATATTATCCAAAATACAGCATTTGATATTTAATACAAAGCTTTTCATATGCATGAGTATGACGGACCGTTAACTAAAAGGATCATGCATTGCCGCCTTGACCACAGAATGAAAAAAAAAAATAACATGTGACCTCTAGGAACCAAATGTTTGTGAACTGAGAACTTTTCTTGTATATTTTCATACTACGTCAATGGCCATAAACCAACATAAGTTATCAGGGGAATGCAATAGTCTATACAAATTTTACTTAAGTATTTTTTTTGTCCTGACAGCATTTTTTGCTGCCGGGCTAAATAAAAATCAGTGTAATAAAATCATATGCATTACTTTTGAGCAGCAAGAAATGTGCAATATTTTTATATATATATAAGATTGTGTGTAGTTATATCTTATACAACATCTTTAGCTGTTGGGTTTTTTTTTGTGTGTACTTAATGACACCTTTCAGATTTTCATAAAGTGAACATTTATGTATAACTTATCTGTTTGCCTTGAAATGTCCATTTAATTTGAATTAACATGTCTCTATAGTTTTTTTTGTTAGCATAACATAGAATTAGGAATGTCCATATAGTGAACATTTTTATGTACCCCAGTTTTGTCATTTACATGGAAGTATCCATTTAGTAGAAATGTGTATATAATTCTCTGTGAATATAAATATTCATATAGAAGAATTTTTATATAGCAGTGATTCTCAATTTTTTGTATGGCTAACACTAACTAAGTCTCTTAAGAAAAACAGCAGACCATCAAGCCAGAGCTCATTAACTCTTCAACCAACATACCCCCCAACCCATCTGGCGCTCGTATTCTAGTTGAGCTGCGAAGCGGCACGTCAGAGGCATTCCACCACTGAGACAGCCCCACCCACCTTCTACTCGAGTGACTATGCAGGTGGGGCAGCATCTATGAAGGGACAGCTGGTCAGTCACAGCTCTCACAGCTCCTGCAGTCGAACTTTCTAGGAGCTGGGATGGACGTATTTTAACATTCCTAAAAGCACTGCTTACCATCCACGGGTGGTACGGCTACCACCGTACGGCTACCACCATGTGTTCAATAAAGTCATGCATTTCAGTTCGGTAAATATCAAAGTAAGCCTAGTATGGATCCTTCTTGTCCAACATCAAAGTAAGCCTAGTATGGATCCTTCTTGTCCAATATCAAAGTAAGCCTAGTATGGATCCTTCTTGTCCAATATCAAAGTAAGCCTAGTATGGATCCTTCTTGTCCAGTATCAAAGTAAGCCTAGTATGGATCCTTCTTGTCCAATATCAAAGTAAGCCTAGTATGGATCCTTCTTGTCCAATATCAAAGTAAGCCTAGTATGGATCCTTCTTGTCCAATATCAAAGTAAGCCTAGTATGGATCCTTCTTGTCCAATATCAAAGTAAGCCTAGTATGGATCCTTCTTGTCCAACAACAAAGTAAGCCTAGTAGTAGTTTGGGTCGTCCTTGTCCATAAGGTTTTTTTATAATTTTTTCTTTATTTACATTGTATGGGGGAAAAATGGCTTTACTTTAAATATTTTAGCCAAAGTACACAATACATGGCAGCTAACAATTTGGAGGACTATATGGCTATATTAAAAAATTTAATGTACATTCTCCACAAAGGCAAACAAATTCAATTCCACCTGTTTGTGTGAGAAAGTCATAAATATCTAGTCAAGTCCAAGTCATTGGTCATGCAGAAGGCATAAAGGAAAAAAAAGGAGTGATCTTTTATTTTATTTGATGGTTCAGTGAGGGTGGTCAGTGGTGCTCTCTCTCGGTGGTCAGTGGTGCTCTCTCTCAGTGGTCAGTGGTGCTCTCTCTCGGTGGTCAGTGGTGCTCTCTCTCGGTGGTCAGTGGTGCACCCACTTGCACCTTCTATTCCTATCATTGCCTCTCAAACCCCCCCCCACCCCCAAAAAAAACAACTGCAAATCCTCTGGTACTGTGCACTTTGAGAACCACTGCTATGTCTCAGATTTAATGTTTGATTCATTGTCTGCTACACTTAATTTGGAGGTTCACATGCAGTTATGTGGAGCATTCTTTACTGTTCACTTAAAGCTGTTATTACTATGTGAAGTAGCTTTCACCTGATTAGTAAGTGTCTATGTGATTGAGTATGTTTGTTGTTGTTTTGTTTTTATATGAAAGATGTGGATCAACTCATTCATGTGCAAACTAATGGATGTGTAATATATTTGTTGTTTATTGATGTAACTGAAATTGTTCAATGTTTCCCTTTGTATCCTTCATTTGTACTGATCAAGTCAAAACAATGTATCATTTACTTGTACTTCTATTATCATGTCATATAATTGTAGGCTAATGTATCAACAACAACAAAAAAAAAATGTACTTGTCCCCAGTAAGCTTTTCATATGTTGTTTTTCATTGTAACAAGTTGTGAAGATGAAATCGAATAATCAGCCGAGATATGTTGTCGTGTTGTTGTTTTTTCCCCTTTTGTGTTTGTTTACGTGCTTTATGTTCGGTGAAGGTGAATGATCGCATAATGCCACAAACTTGCTACATTTAGTGAATGTAATAGCATGACAAAAATAAAGATGCCGGTACACTGGCAGCCACTCACTGGATACACCGTAACACACCTCTCTGAGACCTTCTTAACTCCAAGCATCCCTTCTTATAAGACTAAGAGACCAGTAGTTGGTGGGTGCATTCTTCTACGGAAGATGACACTTGTGATGGCACTCGTCTATGTCTATGTCGCCCTCCCTGGCAAACTCGTTACAATGGACGTACATGAACACGTGAGGCGGTACCAAGGGTGTGGAAAGGC